ACTCATGCTTCTCTTAACCTGTTAAGCTTCAAGCCCACTTTTGAAAAATCCCCAGAAATGACATACCCAAACTAAAACAGATACAGTTCATGAACCCTTTGCACTAAAAGCACAAGTATGATCTCATTTGAAAGCTGACACCTGGTTGTTTATTGTAAATGTAGAATTAATTATTGTCATAATGAAAAAAACAATTTTAAATAGCTTCAAAGTTTTGTAAAGTTATTAGAAATTTATTTTTATGAAACATCTTCATGAAAATAAAATTGAAGTTGGCCCTGGAGCAATCTAGAAATGCACTGCAGCTAAAGCCACATGTCTGACCATTTTATATTTAAAATCTGAAAATGATAAGTATAAAGCTCTGTATTTAGTTCAATGTTTTTCAAGATCATGTCAAATTACTTTATTTTGATTAGACTCTATTAGCAAACTGATGTTTAGTCATCTTCTGAGTCATCTATTCAGTCTATTGTCTCTATTGTTTTGTGGTGCCCCATTCAGTCTCAGTCTCCCCTGCACACATTTACACCTCTCCAGACTGGTTATTATGGCTCTAAATATGCATTTCTTTTGTCTGCATTATAGCTACTAACGACTGGCTATTCACAAGCTATTCATAGGGTTTCAAACCCTAATTTCTTTTATCAAAGTTCTCACTAAATATTTGAAACTGGTATCAAATGCACTGAAACATTTCAGTAAGCATTCCTATTTAGAAAAAAATCATAAAACAATAACTGCTCGTGGCAGGTGCGCCTGGGCTCGCTAGCATGTTAGCTTAGCACACTATCAATACACGACCATTTATGAGATTAAAACTATGTTTGCGCTCCAAACTCACTATATAACGCAAGTCTAGTGTTTTAAATAATCTTCTGTGATCTAACTTGGCTTCAGATAAAAAAAAAATCAGACAGAAAATGTATTATTTAGTGTTCTGAACGATGATGAATCTATATCGATTAGCATTACATTATAAATATAATCTATTATTATGAAATACCTGGCATGGCTTGAAGAACACAGGTAACTCAAATATCATTGCAATCATGTTTATTGTCTTCAAAACATCTTTATCTGCATGTTACAGCGATCTCTGTACTTTCTGTATCACTCAGTGACGTCCTGGAATGTCACATGACTATGGGTCTTCTTCATGATCCATATATGGACTTTTATTGGACATAATAGCGCCCCCATGCTATTGGTATGAATGGAAAACACAGCACATCTCAGTAAGAAGCGATCATTATGATTACATCGACGCATTTGGGTATAAATTCAATAAATATTATTCCTGTCTATAGAAATATGATGTGAATCTATGAGAATATATCAATATTTCTCCACATCTGCACATTGTTGAGCTAAAAGCCCTCAGGGACGTTGTTTTGTGAATCGCTATCATGACGACAGCACGGAGTGTTTTTTATGAATGGACCAGCTGACGCTCATAATTCATATTAAAGGTATCGACTCATTTTTTTCATTTCATAACTCCTGACACAAATTAAGACATAACTGTCACTATAAGTTTCTCAGAATACAATAGTGGTCAAATACTGAATCTTGAGTCTTATATCTTTTTAATGATGTATAGTTTGTCAAGGTATAACATTAAATCTGATAGTATATTTGAACTAAATAAAAAAAAAAAACGCTTCAGTGCGCCGACGCTCTGGAGAAGGTTAAGAGGTTAAACTGACAAAAGTGCTCACTGGGTAGTTTTTCTAGTAGCCGCTCGACATGTGAGCCACAGGTAAGCTCGGAGAGACCTTCACGGCCCATGGACTGGAGGAGACCCACTAAGGCTTGTACTCTAAGGGAAAACTGATCTAGGCCTCTACCATCCCCTAGCCGGATAGCAGGCATCTCCATTATAGCCCGGAGCTCTCTCAGGGCAAGCTGTCTGGGTTGGCCATAACGCTCATCTAGGGCCCGAATAGCTTGAGTGTAGGGATCTTGGGCATAAACATAAGCTAAGGCAAGTCGCTTCGCCTGATCTACCTTTAAGTGATCCAGTAAGATATGATATTTATACTGCTCCGACTCTCTTGGGTCCAACAGGTTGGATAGGGCCATCTTTAACATTATATACTGGCTTTCATCCTCTCTAGTAAGATCAGGGAGTGAGGGACCTTCTACCTTGCTATATGACTGCAGTCGGCCTGAAGGGGGAGCTAAATGGCTTGGTGGGGCTGCAGAAATAAGCTGGTGAGGCTGCACATTGCTGAGCTGGTATGCTGGCTGGGCAGAGTGGGCCATAGCTCTAGGCGAAATTTGAGGTGACAACATGTAGGCTGGGAGCAAGGGGTTATGTGAGACTGGGACTTGACAGGTGGCAAGGAACTGACTATGGTCAGAAAGATTCGTGTGCTGCCAGGGCTGAGCTAAGGGCTGAATGGCAGGGGCACGGCTTACAGGAGGTGGATAAGGAAGCTGCTGCCGAGGTGGGGAAGAAAAGGGCTTATAGTCACTTGTGGTAGCCTGGGGTGGTATTGCTGCATGCTGGGCTTGTGATGCTACCAACTGAGGGCCGAGGTTTTCAGGGGATGGTCCTGAAAGAGACCGTGGGTGGCGGGCTTCACCAAGCATACAGCGCTGGATTAGTCTACCTTGGTTTCTTACTTCTTCTAGTAACTGCTGTAAGAGCTCAGTTTGAGGGTCAGGAATTGGGGCTACATGAGGGTCATGTGGGTACTCAGGGGCTAGGGCTCTCCCAAAAGAGACAGGTGAGGGAGGCTCTGTTGCTGGCTCTTCCTCTTCCTCACTGGGTAGTTGAGGTGGCTCTTCATCCTCCTCAGACTCATGCTGTGGTTGATACTGAGGTCCAACACCGAAGATGTCTGCAGAGTGAAGCGGTGGTGGCTCTGGTGCTTCAGCAGGATGCCGTGGCTGCTGACCATATTCCATGACGTAGTCATCATAGCGTACAGGACGCTGGGCTTGGCGGTGAGGACGCTGAAGTAACGAAGGCAAGGAGTGACTGGACATATCCACCGATCATCAATGGGCTCCGGCTCGAAGGACCATGAAAAGGAGGTTTGAGAGGGATGTGCAGGTAGCTGGCTTGAGACCAGTGGAGGTGTCGGTAAGAACAGTCTAGTCCAGTCACTTTAATTCCACAATGCCTTTCTTTATTAGGTATGTTTGTGTAATGTGTGTGTGTATGTGTGGTTTCTAAAAGGGAAATGATATGAGATACAATTAGCTACATAATGCCACAATACAAGGCCACAATCCATTTGAATGACAATCAAACATTTGTACATTTAAACAGACAGAAAGGAACATTCTCATAATTCAATTAACATACAATCAAAAGAGAAACGTATGGAACTTACATAGTTCAATAACGCACACAGAGCAGGAGACAAGGCATTTCCAGAAGCAACACACAAAGGATTCCTCCATGTGGCAGGAACAAAGAGAAAGAGCTGTGTACAGGTGCTGTCTAATAAAGTCTGTGGCTGATTGGAGCTAATTAGTTGAAGGTGTGGTGAACTGCATGGGGAACTGAGTGACAAAGAAAAATGGGCGTGGCAACTGCAGGACAGAGAGGAAAACTTCCAAACAACAGCGCTTTAAGATTTATATCAGATTGTAAACCTTTAACTCATCATTGTATATTGTATAATAGAGTATCCTGGCCATCTTTGTCTATTAGAAGGAAAATTAATTTTGATCTAATTATTTATAAAACTATTCTGGGGTTGTTGCCTTTGTATCTAGGTTACCTAATTCAAAGAAAAGTGTTGGGAAATATTCCCTTCGGTCTGATAATCGTTTTACTTTCTCTGTTCCATTTGTGAGAACTGAACTGGGAAAAGGGCTTTTATGTACGCAGCTCCATTTGAATGGAATTTACTCCAAACTCAATTGAAATTACAAACTCTGGTGCCTATGGAACATTTTAAATCTGTTATTCGGTCACTCGAAGAAGACTCATTGATTTGCAATTGTTTTTAAGTGTTTTAATTGTATATTTGTTGTTTCAATCTGTAAGTTGTGACTTTAACTGCTGTCCATTCTTGGCCAGGACTCTCCTGTGAAAGAGATTTTTAATCTCAGAGAGATTTTCCTGGTTTAATAAAGGTCAAATAAAAATAAATAAAAAAAATGTTGAAAACAGTTGTGCTGCTTCAAATATTTGCGAAAACTGTGATAAAAAAAAATGTCAGGAACCTTTGATGAATAGAAAGTTTTTTAAAAAAAACAGGATTTATTTGAAATATATATCTTTTTTACATTATAAATGTCTTTACAGTCACTCACTTTTTATATATTTTATGTCTCCTTGCTAAATAAAAATATTCATTTCTTTTAAAAAATGATACAAACCTCAAACTTTTGAACGGTGCATAAAGCAAAATACAGTTTCATCGCCAGTAGGACCTAAACATTATTTATGGCCAGGTAATTGCCTCAATTCACCTGGACTCTTTAACATGAAAGTCAACATATCAGTTTACCTAAACCAAACAACATGAGTGACTATACAGTTGTGAATCTGCAATGACCTCTACATTTCTCAGCTTTGCACTTTCATTCTGTTATTCATCACACACGCGCGCGGACACACAGTGACTCACACTGTCCTTTGAATCTGGCAAATTTAGTACAATTGAACACCAGGTTTTCCTCAAAGAAGCCCGACTTTCATGTTGTTTCTCATCTGACCCAACAGGAACATCTCAAAAAATGTGTGTGCTTTTATGTTTATTATAGTTTGTGTCAGCATGAATGCAATGATGTGTGTGTGTGTGTGTAGAGGCTGAAGATCTGACTGTGCTATTTTGTCTTCCCATTCGTGCGATCTCATCATTTTAGTAGAGCACAGCTGCTCAGACCTAGCCGGATCATAACTGAACGCTTACGCATATGAGGACATTCAAAACATAAAGCACAGCACCCTTCCCTTTGGAGACCAAAGGACCTGACCAATCCATGCAAGGTGTTCAGAAACTGCCCTTTATACATGAGTGAAAGTTACTCACCAGAAACTTCCCGTTCGACCCGAGCACGAGTGCCCTGAAAACACTCGAGATGGTCCGTTTCAGAAGCGCTGGCGGACAGAAAAAGATCTTCTTGTTGTCTTCAGGAAGCTTGTGTGATGCCCAAGCTTCTCAATCCCATCCTGCTCATTCCATGGCATCTTCTTTCCTCCATCTCACTGTCAGTGATTTTTTACTCTCTTCTCTTTTCCATGCAAGAGAGTCTCTTCCCGAGGTCTCAGTCGCGATCAATGCTGTACCGAGCGCCGCGTGTGTGTGTGGATCCCATCTGTCCCTCTCTCGACCTCCGCTCAAGAACGTCAACTCTAGTGTCTGAGCTCAGAGCCAGTGCGTGTGTGTGTGTGTGTGTGAGTGTGTCCATATCCGTGTGTGGGAGAAGGAAGCAGCCAATGGGAACAGGAGGGAGTGATGGGAGTAAGCACACGCGCAGACCTAAAGGCAGCGAATAAACAGAAGGGTTAGAAGACTCCTCTGTTTTCAACCCTCTCTCTCCTCTCCATCCACTGTTTCGGCTTAAAGGAAATGCTCATTATTTACTCACCCTCATGTTGTTCCAAACCTGGATGCTTTGATTTTTCACTGGAGCACAAATTAAGACGTTTTAAAGAATACACTCATTTTCACACAACAAGATCATCTGTCCAAAAGGGACAAAAAGCACCATATGACTTGTACGCTATATTCTAGGTCTTCTGAAGCTGTAGTATTATTTAGTTTTAGTATTATTTGTATACTATTTAGTTATTCATATTTTAAAATGACTTTTATTTTTGTAATGGCTGGACCAATCAGACACAAATTATTCATTATATTTAATGAAGAATCAGTCAAACTCTCCCAGCAAACTGTGTTAGAGTTCCGTGTGTCAGACCATCCCCCAAAACTGCGACTAACAGGAGAATACTGGTTTACGACCGAAAATAATGCAGAGCTTTGCTTTTAACTCACTTTGAATCAGGCCTTGGGAAAGACACATAAAGCCCGTAAGACTCTTCTGCATCAATTTATAGATGAACTGTTCTATAAATGAACATGCATATCTCCAGAACATTGTGTGTATGATTAGCCTATTACTGTCCTCTATAGTGTATTTTGTATTGTATAACGTTTTATGCATGCTTTATGAGAACCACCAGTTAATGTAACCTGACCTATACCATGATTGGTATCTAAGAATTTGTATTTTGATGATTTAAATGATTGTGTATACGTTGATACCTATGCAACATATTAGTATTACAAGAATCTGTAATAGTTTCTGTATCAACATCCAATCTAGCTACATGTAAATGAGTCAGCTTCCAAACTAAAGAAACCTTTCCCATTGGTCAAGCCAAAACTCAAGAGGTGTGACCTCTGTGGAACTTAAAAGCCAACACAAAGTTCCCTCCCTTCTCTCTTCATTCTTCGGGCTGCTGTGCGTGTGGGACCAGAAACACGGTCCGACCGCGAGGTCACGGGCCAGCAGAAAACAGCGAAAGTTTGTCATAATTTATTCATTCAAACTGGAAAAAATCGATTGTAACTTCAACACCATCGACTCATGGAACCATTAAAAACCTTCTACAGAGACTTCACAGACTGCTTCAACTCAAAGGCCTTGCAAGTAGCTACCGTACATTTAACTAAACAGAGGTGTAGGATAAGCGATGAACCCCTCTTAATGAGGTGCTTTGAAATAAGAAACTGATGGTTCTTTCCAACGCATTCTCATCCCAAGGCGTCATATACTGACGCTTTTGCCAAAGCGTCTACATCCGACGCACATGGCACCCTTTAGCGTCAATATTACACGCTTCGGTTATGGGTAGGTTTAGGTCTGGGGAAGTGTTAGGGTTAGACCACTAGGAGGCGCCATATATCTGCGTCTCATATTGACGCTAAAGGGGGCCATGTGCGTTGGCAAAAGCGTCAGTATATGACGCCTTGGGATGAGAACGGGCTGTTCTTTCAGGTGGTTAAATTACTCTTTTCGTAGCTTCATTACTCTGTACTGTTCCAGTTACATCACTTTCCAGTTTCCTAAGTGTGATTTGTGTGTATGTGTTTGTTTAGATTAGTTCTGTGTTTGTGATTTAATTAATATAACTTTGGTTATGCTATCATTCATCATCTGAGTCTGATACCCCTCCTCCTTCGTAATTAAAGCTGCGACAGTTGAGTGCATGAAGTGTCCAACATTCCACACTTCATTTTTTCGGTTAGTTAAATGCATCATCCGGGAATTTAAAGTGCACTTTTTCTTTTGGGAATTTTGCAGTGTGAACACACTACTCGCTAGCCTGACTTCGTCATACTCATGTTCTAGTCAGAATGTGAGTCTGATACTGCTCCATAGGGGTTTGATTATGAGGTGTGTCTTAACCGAACCAGGAAAAAAAAAACTCTGCACTCAATTGGATAGCCCTACTACAACCAATCAGAGCAACGTAGTAAGTGCTTTTTTTATGAGCTACGCAAATTGTCAACAGAACTCAACTGCACGCACGCTGGAAGAAGTAGTAAAATAATGAGTGTTGCTTCTTTTACGTGGTCCTCCATGAGTGCGACCAAAGGAGAAACCACAACGACCACAGGGCTTTCATTGCGTCCCATCTTCTTAGTGACCATCAGAGCCAGCTGATAAATTAAACATTTGCCGAATCCCGTAGGAAGGACGGCAAACACATCTTTCCGACCGATAAATGCCTTGATTGCAGTTCTCTGTTCGTCTTTTAAAATGAATGCGCTGTGGATTTCTTTTACAACAGACGCGATAGCGGACTCTATACATCTCAATTCTCCAGCGGCAGTCATCTCTGAGGGAAACCAGTTCAACCCAAGCGCTCTTTGATAACGCGATGATTACGTAACTGCAGATCATCTGTCCATCATCGTATAAAGCCTGCCCTGGCAATTTGATTGGCCCGACTAATTCTGAACCGATCATAATTACTCCGAGTCCAGACCGAACTTCCCGACCAAAAAAATTTTGTGGGTGGGGTTCGGGCTGGCATCCAGGCTAACTACTCGCACTATTTATATTACAAAACGTCATAGAATAGTGCATAAGTATACGTGAATTGGGACGCACCGTATGTGAAAAGAGAAAGATGTCTGAATTCACAAAAACAGTATGCGAAATGTACCCGGATGACCTACAACTTCTGGCGAGACTGTGATGTGCACATCCAGTGGACACTACACTATCCCATGAGGCCATGGGAAAGATGTGTAAATGGCAGGGAAGTGATGCAACTGACCCTGTAGGTCACATGACAACATGATGAAAGTATTCATACTATGTAGAACATCATTTTTTAACAGTCACGAAGACTATTAATATATGTATGAACTTGCTTGAGGATTTCTCCTTTTGTGTTGCACAGAAAAAAAAACATGCGAGTTTGGAATGAGTAAATGACAGAATTTGGTGAACTATCCCTTTAAGCTGGGTATATCATCAGCAGCAGCGCTTGAGGGTGTGTATGTATGTGTGTGCGTGTGTGGGTGCGTGCCTGGCCATTTAATTAAAGCAGAGGATGCCGGAGATGCACAGGAGGGACAGGGAGAGACACGGCAGACGGCTGATGATGATGATGATGATGATGAAGAGGAGTAGAAAGGAGGGGGAGGGAGATGCAGGATGGTCAGACAGGAGGATATCAGGGGTCATCAGATGGGACCATGTGGTTGTGCAGGAAAAAAGCCACCAGGAATCAGTAGAGCAGGTGGAATAGATGAAGGGTAAATGAAGGACTGCATAAAGCTATGAAGAAGAAAGCTGTGGCATATTTATAAGATGTGTTGAGGTTGCAGAAGCATAAGGTGAAATTCCTATCTTGGCCAAGTGAGGGCAGATTAAATACAAAGGGATTGTTTTCCCAAAAATTCTGTCATTCTGTCAATTCTGGCATCATTTACTCAGCCTCTTGTATGACCAAAAGGCAGAACAATTATGCTGCTCTTTTTCATACATGAAAGTGCATGAATATAGATGCAGCTATAAGCTCTTAAAAAAAGGCCACAATAGAATAATAAAATCAGTCCGTATGACTCATGAATTAGTCTTTCAAGTTCACTGAAATCCTTCCCATCCAACCACCTCATTCTTATCACAATTTCAAACTTGCAAGATAAGTTATGTCATCACCAACGTCAAGCCTGATGAAATGTTTTCACATGGCATATAGGCCTATAATAGCATACTAACAACAACGAGATATGAAAACTACTGTGGAGGGGAATAATGAATTAGATTTCAGTCACACTAAGCTATCATTTGACTTCAGATGACAGAGAATATTGGTGATGGCAAAACAATATGAGATTATGTCAATGAAAATAGGCAAAATTATGTCGATGCTTTTGCGTTCTCTTGCTAAATGTTTGTGTTCCCCCGAGAAACTGCATTCGCTCGTAAAACTTTTGAGTTCTTTGCAAGCATATAAGCAAAGTTTCTTGGGGAAGCAAAACTTTTCGGAAAAAGCATTGAAATATTTTTCTTTTCATCACCGTGTTCCTTTAGGGCTCCGTAGTATATAGCGGACAAGTACAGACTTAATTTATGGTTATATTATATAATTTTTGCATAAAGCATACATAATAAAACGTCTATACACACTGTTCAAAAGTTTGGCAACAATAGGATTTTTTTACGAAACACAAAATACACACACAAAATAGCCGTGGCAATGATCAGCGCTGTATCGTCCGGAGCTGACTCAGTTGCAGCGGCCATCTTGTTCGAGGACTCTGGAAGGGCGACCTTGACCGGAAAAAGCTCAGGCTCGGCAGGCATGACGTGAAGAGACTCGGGCTCGGCAGGCATGTTCACTGGACATGGTGGTGGTGGGACAAGCTCCGCGGCCACCGGAGCTTGGTGCATACTGCCCCCTCCCAAAAAATGTCTAAGGGAAACGTCCTCCTCAAACTCCCCGACAGTGAAGGAGGAACCAGTTAAATGAAGGGCATAATCTAGGAAGTCACTGAACTACCCTCGAGGAGCATCGTGTATTAGTTTGTCCTTGAGCCCGTAACAGAAAAAGTCGATTAGAGCACAATCTGGCAGTTCAGAAACATTTGCAATGTCCAGGAAAATGCTTGGAATTGCAGTGTAAAGCCCCGTACACACCGGGACGAATTTCGGCGCGCGTTATTCGTTAGCGTTTTTCAACGCGTTTTTTGTGTTCACACCCAAGCGATTTTCGCTGACGATGAGCCGAGTGAACATGCAAATTCATTCCCTGACATTAGATGGCGCTTAATGTAAAACAGGAATAGTCCTATTTTGTAGTCGCTGTCGCATTTGTCATAGTTCCTTATGTTTCGACACCAACGAGACCAGCAGCTCTACATTC